CTTCAGGTGAGCTGTGAGTGGAAAACGCACGCGGCTGTGCGAGGGAAAGAGGATCTTTTGTTGCTACCTTTGTGTCAATCACAATAATAATATACATATATAGTAGTGTATATATAGTAATATACATATACAATATAGTAGTATATATATATAGTAATATATATATATATTACTTGCCTACGCTGGGCATGAGCACTAGTGCGGTCAGCACTTGAAGAAAGGCAAGCGGCTGATAGACTTTCCAAGTATACACCACTGGTGACAAGACTTGAACATATTTTAGATACATCCAACTGTTGTGGAGATGCTTAGGTCGAATTGGTTTCCATTTTTGGGTGACCAGCTTTGCTTTGAACTTATTGCCTATTGAAATTCAGCGATCATGCGCTTGGCCCTGTCAGTTGCTGGAGCACAACTCTAACTTAGGACTCTAGAACTTGTTGCAGAGTATATAGTGCTTAGTGCTGGGGCAAAGGTTGAACGCACTGTTTCTGGTCATGTAGGTCAAAGTTCCACTTGTACTATGAAAACCTCGCACCAGCCTTGGGTCAAAAAGAATATATATATATATATATATTAGGTTGGAACGGAACATCAATCATCATGAGAAATCCAAGATGTCAATGACCGATACATGGCAAAAGGGCGCTAAAACCTAATCCTGTGTCAAGGCCAAGCCATAGCCATGGCGTCCACGGACATGCAGGAGATGTACACGGGTTATGACAACTCAGGCTACATGGGTGTGTATCCACAATGGCAAGAGCAGTGGAACTGGGGCACGGATGCAACCGACTACACAACAGGAGAGCAATTTTGTGGCAATGTGGCTTTCTTTGTTCAGTTCCCCGGCATGGTTGGTGGAGTGCCAATGGCAAACACAAACACCAACCAGGAGAGTTTGGAGACTTCGCAAACAACTACATCAAAAGGCAACTTGCATGAGATGGAAGCCAAGATGGCGAAACTCCAAGCCGAAAACCAGAGGCTCATGCACCTTTATGAGACCGAGCGCCAGATGAGGCAGATCGAGGTGCGCGCTAAGCAGCAAATCCTAGAGATGTATGCTGTACCACGCTCAGAGGTGGAACAATTGGTTCGACGCTTTCAGGAGGACAGTCCAACTGCCATGCACTATGGTGAGACTACCACACCCTTTGTGTCCGTGTCAAATGCCAGCACCAGGGCAGGATCGCCTGGAACCACAGGAACCTCAGCCACATCATTAGAAACCCTCCTCCAAGATCTCTACAAGAAGCTTTATGAGCCCGACGGAGAACGCGAGACTCAGGAGGAGTCTGGCACCAGAGATGAAGTTGGCAAGGGGTCTTCCATGGTCAAAACCGAAGAAGAGGAACAGGAAGAGCTCAAGCAGCAGCTGTCCCAGTTGCAGAACATGGTAGAGATGGAGGTTGATGAGCGTGCTAGGGCAAGTTTGTTGAGGATGTCACCACAACAGGGAAAGATCGCTCTGCGCAAGGTAGAAGACATCATCCAGGAGCAGGGAGGCTTTTGCCACAACCTGTCATCAATGGTACAATCCATTTGCCGCAAGATGGGATACATTTCGAGACAATGAAGATGATTTATGTCAAAAATAATACATAATGATGAATTATGTTTGATACTTTTTCAAGAATACACTTCGAATCACTTCGATATAGTCAAAAGGTTCTAGCTTATTTGGCGAATTGTATCGCCAGTTTGTTGGCCAGACTTGCTTGCACTCTGACAGGTGTAGCTAGACTTTCGACAAACCGTTTAGACTCCCTGTTTGGATTGGTCAAGATAATATTGAGAATCGCAGACCTGGGATTATTTCTCAGCTCAAGCAGCTTTGCAACCGCCTCCCAAACCGTCCCCTGAGCTTCAAGTAAGACCTTCTGTACCATCATACAATCGCTCTCAAAATTCGTGGATCATGCTCCTATCGCCAAAGAAGCCTGAGACAACTTAGTGGTGCTTGCGGAGCAAGAGTCTCAATAATTTTGCACCATAACATACTCAGGCCAGCCTGTTGATGTTCCGCACCCTCGATCCCACAGTGACGACACAAAATATCAAGCTTTTGCGGCACTATGTGATATATACATTGTACATAACTTGGTTCGTTTCGCACTTTGGAAGACACGCCATTTAAGATCTCAGTTCCTAGTTTTCCTCATTGTATAGTATAACTAACTAGACACCTTTTCAGATGCATTTCCCGCGTTTGTAGTGTACAGCCCATTTTCCATTTCACACTTTTGTTCACTCGTATTCCCTAGGCCCGTGACCGCAAGTTGGAGTTGACAAACTGTTTTGACATGTTTTGACCTTTGGCGCTGCAAGGCTTCACCAGTGTCTTGTGTGTTTTTTGATGTTGTCTGACTGAACAAGATCTCCTTGAAAAACCAGGCCCTGCTTCAGGGTTGGGTACGGCTCAAGCAAGTAGCTGTGACCCGACCATGGATATGTCTGGAATGCTTATGACCACAGGAGCGGCTTTGCTCATGACTCATTGCTGCATTTTTGGTTTTGACAACTCCATTTGCTCAGCAAGCTTTTTTTATATGTAGAGTCCCTAGCTTTACTAATTAATTCCGCAGGCTTTGAGGTTTTGTTGTCCACTCACGCATGTCATTATAATACAATAATATAAAAAAAAATATATATATTTATTTATTTATCTAATATTTATATATCGTACGTTGGTTCTGGCTCGTTGGGCACTGAGTATACATTTTTCCATAGATTGAGAGCCGTTGACATTGCCCAGCTGCCGCTAGGGAGCAAGTATTTGCTTGTTTGATTCTTGAACACACATTATTCCGTTTAAGACCGACATCATGTTCACTGTAGGTTTCAAAACGTGGGAAGTTGGTGTTCACAGGACTGAACTTTCAAAAGATCCCATGGCAACGAATACCGATGGAACCCTACATCTCCCTTCACCAATTGTCGTAGTAGTATGTAACCACCATCGAACACCAACACGAACCCATCCGGAGCTTGGGCATGCGGATTTCAGGAAGTCATTTCCATCCTGCGCCGTGTTGCCTCTGCCCTGTGGGATGGGCTGGATGGACACAAGTCCAACGAACATTTGGACCGTGCCTTGTGGGATGCGCGTATTAAACAGTATCGCTCCTCCTCCAGGGCTTGCATGCACATCGCGGCCATTTGTACTTTCGGTCAGATGCTGCACTTGCAATGGAATCAAAACGCACACTCACGCTGGCCCTTTGCGATTTCAATGTCTGCATGGGTTATGCATCTGATAATCAGTTCCGGCATCTTGCAGCTGAATCGCGTGAGGTGTAGGCTTTTTGTTCTTGCAACTTGGCATTTGAAAGTGTTTTTCATTCTGTAGCACTTAGTCATACTTGGTCTATATAAGTTTCTCAACGTCTTTTCAAGGACTTTCTTTACAGCATAGATTGTCTTTGTATAATAGATTTGTTTTTGCCTCCGTGGATTTAGTCCGGAGATGCCCCCAGGTGATGTATTTGATGGTTGGGCTTTGGGTCCATGGGAACCCTGGCGATTGTCAAAATGCACTCATCCTCTCCAGTGTCACCATTTCTGTGCGTTTTGCTGTCGCCACGTTTTTTGCGGATTTCCAAATCGGAGTTCCGGCACAGTCTTTGTTGAGCCTCCTGGAAACATGGAATGCTTGGAAGCGTGATCCTGCTTCTGTACATATCTCCTGTCTTCATCAGCTTACAGTGCCTTGTCAGCGAAACCAAGTCCAATAAAGGTACAATGTGCATCAATGAGCAAGGTTTACCTGGAGGAAAGGAGACTCATGAGAAACAGTGAAACTCTGTCGCTCGCCGACAGCGGTCAGGTCTTAGCTTTCATCATGGTTCTAGCGGGCTTGATGGAATTCCACAATCGCTCGCGGATTGCGCTGCTCACGAATTCGGAGTCCATGATCCTGAGCTTCCGAAGGTTTCCCGAAGATTCAGCCGTGCATTGTGCGCGGAAAGGTTCAAGGCAGATTCGGGCCAGTTGGCCAGGCTGTGGTGAATTCATCGTGACAAGATTGAAGTTTGGATGGTAACCATGTGATTACCATGTTGTGGGTAGACACATGTATAGCTTGATATAGCTTGTGCTTGTTGGGCATCTAAGGGTGCTGCGTGGGGTGTGCGATGGCGAAGTTCTGCTGGACAGCCAATTACGAGTATCGGGGAAGGCCGGCTGCTTGCAGACTCTTTGCTGCATTGTGTGGTAGAGTGGTAGACCTTTGGCGGGGTTCAATCTTCCAATTGGCGCAGCAGCCGACTGGAAGTGATCGCACATGAAGACTGATTTGTGTATCGAATTTTGAAATGACGTTGATGCGGTGCTCAAGTCAAAAGGGTGATCCAGGGGGGCCCCGCATGAAACCCTCAGCACTGGCCATTCTGTGGCTGGCCAGGCTGGCTGAGGTGGGATATCGGTCCATCCCTAAGGAACCGAGGCTTCAAGATCAAGGCCCATCCCTGGTGAATCAGACCTGCTCGTGCCAGTGCCTTTGCAGTCCAGGTCATTCGAGGACGTTAGACTTGTCGTTGGGATTGGTGGTTGGAGTCCTTCTCGCAAGCGTGGTCTTTTCAGTGTGTCGGCTGAGTTCCTCAAGAGGGCAGGCTGCTGAGGGAGATGAGTCATTTGTTAGTCCGAGGCGACGCGGAGGAGGTGTTGTCCAAGTGCCATCCAGGACAGCGGGCTATTGTGTGGTTTGCTGATGACTCAGTTTACCACGAGCGTTTGATGATCTGGAGGGTTTCAGGCACAGTGTGGTACATCCTCACGCCTGACGGTGATCTCTATCAGGAGGACTGGTCAGGGGTTGCCGATGACGGGCCAGTCAGTTTCAAGGTAAAAGGCATTGACTTCAGCTATTACTCTCGAGTGCCTCTCCCCATCTACCGCTTTTCTTCCTACCCGGATGACAGTGCCTTCAAGAAGCATGTTGAAGAAGCATTGACAGAGCTAGGTGAGTTGGGAAGCGGGGAGTTTTCATGGATGCCCCGAAAAGCCATAGATATGTCAGGAAAGGAAGTTGAGGCGAGCGCATATTTGGGACGCCTGTTGGTGCCTCGGAGGATTCGCAGACGCGATGGTGGAGTTATCACCGAACCGGCCAAAGCCTCGGAGGTGCCAGCGGGCCACCCAAAATCTGGGCTCGAGACACCAGCAGAAGGGTTCATGTGGGTGGCCTCTCATGACTCCCCTGATTTTGATTTGGGGAAGGAAGTCTTTTCTGGATTAAGCCGTGGAGTCATGCTGGACTCAAACCATGGGGCCATCTTAGGAGACTCGGGATGGACAACAGTGAAGTTGATGAAGGTGGAAGAGGTGCCAGGCTTCATCGAGGAGCGAGAAAAGTTGGTGCGTAGTCGTTTGGAGCTGAGAGGACAATCCGTCCACATCGGAGGAGGTGGTGGCAAGAGAAATGAGGCAGAAGAGGCAGAAGAGGCCTCAGAGGATGCTCGGACTTTGAGTGTCTTCTATGATGACCAGGGCGAACGTTATCGCTCCTGGCGTGAGGCCACCAAGGACACTCGAGAATACTCCTACTCCGATTGGCCGCTGGAGGGTCCTCAGTCCGTTGTCCACCTCATGAAGTACATGTTGAAGAATGGGGGCAGCCCAAAACAATGGCTACTGGTGTGGGCTCGTCACAAGGGAGTTCACGACAATGACCGGGTGATGCATGAGATGAGGGCCCTGCTCGAATGTTTCGAGCAAGCTGGCTGCTACGATCAGTTGAATTTGGGAAGCCTGGCTTGCTTTGAGACACTGGGTCGTCGCATTCAGAGCATTGTTGATGCATACAACAGTGGTTCAGCATCTTCACCCGATTGGGGCGCCGCCAAGATCATGTCAGGCTACCAGGGGCCGGAGGACTTGGTGTCGCCGACCCTCCGCTCATGGGCAGCTAAGAAGGAGAAGGAGGAGGTCGAGCTTGCAGCTGCCAGAACGAAGATGAGAGAGTTCAAGAAGTTGCAAGCGCCCGTTGAAGAAGCCGCTGCCGCTGCCGTCGCTGAGGGCAGCCTTCCTGCAGGCAGAGGAGCCGCTAAGCCTAAGCGCAAGGCTAAGGCCAAGCAGCTCCCTCCGCCGGAGAACCAATGATGAGTGGGCCTTGGAATCCTCCTGATGCCTCCAAGGGGGATTCCATAGGGCTGGCAGCAGTAGGAGGCATGAAGCCAGATCCAGCCGTAGGCAAGAGAGATCTTTTTCCTTTGCCAGTGCCTTCACTTCACAGCAGATGGCACGGCGCCAGTCGCCGCTCACAGCAGAGGAGTGATAGGAGAAGCAGAGGAGAGGAGACAGTGCGTGAGGCCGTGATGGCCTTGAATTGGTTGGCTGGCTATGATTTTTTGCATGGCACAGATGGTGAGCCTGACCCCTTACAAGTTGAGGTTCTCCAACGAATTCGCGAACTTTCCAAGGACGCTGGAAACATAGGCACCTTGGGATATGTTCCAACTCCAGAGGCAGCCTTGCGAGAGCTGCTCAAGGGAAAATCGGAATACAACCAGCCCGAGATCCCTGTTGCTTTAGCCCCCTACAGTCTCGAGCGCATCTCTCTACCAGCTTCACTCCATGACCTTCCAGAGGCCAAGGACTTGCTGCCCAAAGATGCCCGTCGATATTTGTTGGGTGAAGAGCTCATGCTTAGGGAGGGAGAAGTTTTTGAGTCTCCCCGCCCCTATTGGGATCCTGTTTTGGCAAACAACAAACGATGCTACCGGGAGTTCATTCAACGTCTGGACGACATAGGACTTTTGCAGTATACTCAGAAACCCAAAAACGAAGTTGGCGTGTTTTTTGTGCACAAGAGTGACAAGAAGAAGATTCGTTTAATTGTTGATGCCAGATCCGCAAATGCCCTTTTTCGAGACCCTCCGGGAGTTGAGCTTTGTTCAAGTGAAGGGTTCAGCCGAATTGAATGTGAAGTGTCCTCTGACGCCAAGCCTGGAAGCCCCGAGTTTCTGGAGGAGCTTAGAACCATGGAGCTTCACGTGGGCCTTTCGGATGTGAAGGACTGCTTCCACAGGCTCAAACAACCGAGGTGGCTAAGTGAGTACTTCTGCTTGAAGCCCATTCGAGCTCACTGGGTGGGTTTGGCCGGCAAGTATTTGGAAGGGGTTAAGTTGGGTAGCAATGACCTCATTTATCCCATGCCTGGCAGCTTGTGCATGGGGTTTTCATGGAGTCTTTATTTTTGCCAACAGATCAACGAACATCAGTGCACTTTGACTCGCAGTTTGGGGGATTCGACATTGATCACTGACAAAGGCAAACCAGTCGTCTTCAAAAGTTCGAAGTGTTTGAAAGAAGCAGAGTCCACTACAAGACATTATGTCTACGTCGACAACCTTGGAGTCCTGTCGCCTCACAAAGCGGTCGTTGCAACCGCCCTCCAGGAGTTGGACGAGCACTTTGGAGGGCGGGGCTTGTTGCTTCACCCAGGAGAGGTGCACAGCAGTGAGACACGGGCGCTGGGGACTATTTTGGACGGAAACAATCTTTGTTCAAAAATCACACCTGAGCGCTTTCACAGAGTTCGACAGAGCATTCGAGGGTTACTCAATAAGAAGCGTGTGACGGGACAGATGCTAGAGGTGGTAGTGGGGCACGCCACCTTTTGTGCCCTGAACAACAGAATGTTGCTGTCCGTTTTTCACAGTAGCTACAAATTTATCAAGGCACATTATTTTGAGAACAGCGTGATTTGGGATTCAGTGCGGGCCGAACTGACAGCCTTCGCAGGACTGATGATCTTCCTGCGGTCGGATTGGTGGCGGCCTTGGAATCCCTTAGTTTGCAGCAGCGATGCCAGCAACACGGGTTATGGAGTGTGCACTTCTTTTTGGAGTCTCGAAGATGTGGCCAGGGTTGGGAGACAGAAGGAGCGTAGCCGGTTTAGGAGATGCGAGGGGCACTCTGCCCGCGAGTCATCTCTAACTTCGGCAGGGTTCGTAAAGGACGAGGTTACAGGTTGTTGGAAAACAGGTGAGCTTTCGTCTGAAGACTATCTCAACTTGAGTGGTTGGCAGATCGACCAGAACTTTGAAGAGGTGCCGGCCCGTTTGCTTAGGAAAGACAGATGGCAGCCCAAGCTTTGGGGACGCTGGCGGTTCAATGAGGGCATCCTCACCTTGGAGGCCAGGGCAGCCGTAAAGGCGTTGAGGCGTGTCGCATTGAGTCGGTTTGGGTCACAAATACGACAGCTTTTTCTCCTTGACAACATGTCGGTTACTTTGGCCTTTGAACGGAGTCGCAGCCGTCAATTTGGTTTACTCAAACAAGTGAGGCTGTTCAATGCATATTGTATTGGTCGGGGCATTCAACCTAGTTTTAGATGGATACCCAGTGAACTGAACAGTGCAGACGAGCCCTCACGGTTTGGAACTGATGAGCCTTCAAAGTTGCTGACAGCGTGCATCGCCCATGGCGCCAAAGCAGAGTCGGTGCCTCCCGCCTCCAGCGGGACAACCGCCTTCAAAGGCGGCCAGAGTGGAGGCCCGGCTCAAACCGGGGAAGTTGACCGTGAACAGTTGCAAGGACAAGAAGGTTCCTGCTTTGAAACCAGCGGAGACCGAAGAGTTTCTGACAACCAAAGGGAGTCTAGGCGCGGTGCCCACTCTCGAGAATCCTGGCGACGAGCCTGTGGCGGTTCGAGACAGCGGCTCAGTCTCGAGCAGTTCAGACAGCAGCAGCGATTTCGAACTGGTGCAGAAGAGACGAAAGAACCTACACTCTCGGGCCCGCCACCGGAGAAGAAAGTATGTGGACTTCCTCATCGCGGGCAGGGGCAAGAGCGAGCTGACCTTGTTAGAAAGAAAGGCAATTGGAGCTGCGTCAGAGAAGATGTACCAGAAGGAGATGCAGGCCTTCCTCGACTATGCCCAATGTCGAGGCCTGGACGTCAGCAAGGCAGAGACAGTCGACAAGTTGATGGTGCAATACATGAACCTGTGTTATCTGGGGGGCCACCAAGCCTTTGTGGGCGACAGGCTCATTGCCAGTTGGCTGCATCATCACCCTCAATACAGCAAAGCTGGAGTAAAGAGGATTCCTCGTGCACTTCGCTGCCTCAAAGGGTGGAGACGCCTCTGCCCCGGAAGGTCCAGGGTTCCTTATCCTTTGGCCATTTGGTGCGGGGTAGCATGTTTGATGATGGAGGCTGGCTTTCCCAAGATGGCTGTTTTCGTCATGTTGGCCCTGTCTACATACAGTCGACCCTCGGAGCTTTTGAGATTGAGGAGGTTCAGCCTGATCCCGCCTGCCACCGGAGTGACGGGCAGCTGGAGTCTCCTCTTGAGCCCCGAGGAATTGCAACAAGCCTCAAAGACAGGAGACTACGACGTCAGTGTCCTGTTAGACTCTCCCTATACAAACTGCTGGGTCACCAATGTTCTGAAGTCCTTGAAGAAGGGAGCCAGCAGTGCTCGCCTGTGGGACTTCGACTACAGCCAATACCTGGCAGTGTTCAAGAGGTGCGCCAAGAAGATGGACATCCCCCTGGAGCCATACCACTCCCGGCACAGCGGCCCATCCATCGACCGGAGCCGCAAGTACCGGTCACAGCTGGAGGTTCAAAAGCGGGGGCAATGGAAGAGCAACAAGTCAGTCGTTCGCTACGAGAAGGCGGCAAGGCTGGCTCGAACCTGGGAGCAGATCCCTACCAAGACCAAGGAGTACTCGCAAGCGTGCGAGGCGGCGTTCGACGACATCATGACTGGCCGAAAGAAGTGTCCAAGTTCAAACCGCCTAGGAGAAACCAGAAAGGCTGCTATGTAGCGGATGTTTTCTCTGGACGCGGAGGCGTCGCTTTGGCTTGTGAGAGAATTGGTTTTGTGAGTCGGCAGTGGGACATTCGACTGGGACACCAGTGTGACCTCACCAGTCGGAACGTCCTTTACCGCTTGAAATGTGACATTAGAAGTGGCAAGGTGTTAGCAATGATGATGGCTCCACCGTGCAGTTCTTTTTCAGTGGCCCGCGATCGAATCAAGGTGATTCGAACACGGAACCAGCCATGGGGAATTTCGTCTGAGTTTTTGACCACAGCTGAGACGGAAAAGATACAGTTGGGCAATGCTTGCTTCAAATCGTGTTTTGCCTTGATCCGGACGCTGGACAGATTTGGCATCCCATGGATACTCGAGAATCCAGCTTCCTCAAAGTGTTGGCACCTTCCTTTTCTTCAGAGTATTTGCAGACAACAACATGTCCACAACATATATTCTGATTTTTGTCAGTTCGGCACTATTTGGAAAAAGCACACACGATTTGTTTGTGGCAACATCGAGTTCGATGACTTGCATCGTGTAAACTTGCAGTGTCAGAGTCAGTCTGTATGCAGTGTTACACGCAAGCCACATTTCCACCTCACTGGAAAGGGGCCCCATGGCAGACATTGGACAGAGATCGCCCAGCCTTATCCCCGACGGCTGTGCGATGGACTAGCTTATGCTTTGACGGCCAAACTTCACTACAATTATGTTTCCTACTAAAATACTGGGTTGAGCAATATCTGGTGAACATCTTTTTTCTTTTGGAAGCTGCCTTTGGAAAAGATGCTTTTGGAAATATACCAGGGTGCTTGAAAACCGGCGTAGTGGCATCAGCT